CTGCGCGGCCGTTTATAGTGCCAGCTTACTCGCTCTCTGTGTGGCGATGTAACCACACTGCGCCTGTATATGCGAATGAGTAATTCCATGTGCCGGAAGGTGGCTTAAACTGAACGCCGTATTGGTTGACGTACTAAAAAGAACGGAAAAATTATGTGAGAAGCAGCTAACGTTTTCAGAATCTCTTACAGCCTAGCGGGCCAGCGACAACCCGAAAACATTTGTTCAACGAACGTATTTGCATCGGCGAGCTTTAAATCCTTTGCCGGCCATCGTGATCGAAAATGACTGCGCGGGGTTAGCTTCTGCTATCTTTCGCTACCCGTCGCATGATTCCACACCATTTATTGGCATACCCTTAGCTGTACCAGCCGTAGTCCCGTAACATTATAGGCTGATCGGACCAGTCATAGTTACCAAGCAGGTCGTAGCGGTTGACCGTCTTCCCGTGTTTACCCACAATGCGGTAACGAACTTACTCTCGCGATAGCAATAACAGTAGCGGAGGCTGCCGACCCACGGTTGGACACGTAGTCTAGTTTTTACCTAGTTTTCCTGTCAAAGGGCTAGATAAGGACTACAGAAAACATACGAGCGAGCGGGAAGGGTGGAAGAGTAAAGGGAGAGAGTTACGTAAATGAGATTGTGATTTATGGCCTCTCATCGGGGTTCGCGTCGTCACCGTAGCCATTGTCTTCGTATACTTGTTCGTCTTCTTTCACTCACTTTCCACTCCTCGAGGTTTTCGTTCGTCAGCTACGAATTTTGCTGTTCTCTTTATACGGTACTAACCTCCCGGTTGCCGGAACTTTATACGGATGCCTCCCGGTTGTCCGAAAACCGTGTTGCGCTCTTTGAGCTTCTTCAGTTTGCCGTTGTTACATGTATTGCCGCTCTTGGCGCGGCGGTTGATGACGCTACTACGACAGCTGTTATTGCGACGAACGTTCTTGGCTCCGGAAAAGAAGTGAGTTGAAGCTAAAGAAGGGTCCTGTATGTGCCAACGAGTGGACGAGGTGCGTTGCTTTACTCTCCGAACCTGAGAAGCAGCGACTGTGACTAGCTGCAACAGCAAAAGAATCAGTGACTACCAGCTTTCAGGGCAGCTAGAGTATACCGACAGGGAAAATAGAACGAAGCAAAGGCGGCGCGACTGGTCTCTAACAGCGGAAAAGAAACCTGGCCTTCTCTTGCCTCCGGGGCAGGTTCCGAATCTACTCGCGTACGCTTGCCTCAAGCTGTATATTGTTCTGTTTCCGGTCCCGGTGGAAATAGTTTGAGTTCCGAACATCGTATGATTCCGCTACGATTATCAACATCACTGCATTGACCAGCATGCCCCTCGCTACGTATATCGATGCTACGGTTCGAGACAGCTTTAAGGTTCTCCCACTTTTGTTGGCTGTTATTCCTACTATTATAGCAACACCAACATGCAGCCCAGAAATAGGATGCCTCCTAAGTATAGGTTTTGAGAGATTTATCCTTTCGCCGTCTAACTACTAAGTCTCTCCCGTTCTGAGTAATCGTTGCTTTCTGCCAAAACTGCGTGCTGGACCAGCGTAAACTCTCAAAGATACCAAGCACGTCTTTTGAATCATGTTTCCGTTTTGCCCCCTTTATGTCGAGGGCGCGGGACCTACCATATTTGCTCGCTACTTCATCCCGTCGTTATATGATCGCTCAGGGAATAATTCGCCTGTCTGTTTCATACTCACAAGTTACTTTATACCTACTCGTCTGCACTTATATTGTTCCCTCATTGTGTCTACCCCAAGCTTACAAGCGCACGTATGTAGGCAGTGTACGAACGCAAGAAGGGAATAACACAAACTTGCCGGTTTTGAGTAATATCGTTACTCATTCCATACAGGTTTAGCCGTACAGTCTTATCCAGATACCGCCCGGGGCGGACAAACGCCATCCAAATAATCGACGCAGCTTTATCTTACATAAATGATTATCGTATGTTCATTCATTGTTGGTTGTATCGTCGTGGCTATTATTATTAAGGCAGCAGGATTATTACGTTATTACTAAAACAATAATTATTGCTATGAAAATTATAATATTTAGTATTGATCCTACATAAATAAACGTCAAACTTAAGGAATTCTACATATCAGCACGTGAGTCCGGACATAAAATTTCTAAAAAAATGTAAGGGATTGTCGTTGGTATTTATAGAGTCAGTGTTCTATACAATACTGATCAGTACAGTCAACAGCGATAACTTACGATGCGATAAAAATGTATTCCGAGAACAAAGTGAGCAGCAAATTATGGCTCAGATTTGTCAAGTGGTATGTATTATGACCACAAAAGGCTTTTTAAGATGGGAGGGGTGTGCAGAAAGGTATCCACGGACAGGCAACTCAGCCTGTATGTAAGACATGCGTGGGCCTACAGTTAAGCCAAGTTGAAGTGGTCATACCATCAGGAACCTCCCATTACATTGTGCGAAAGCACCCCCTGACGGTCGCTGCAGGAATGGGCCAATCAGTCCGTTTTTCGCAGGTCTCGGATCACACATGTCATGCAACACGTTGGAGCTGGTCGTGTGTTTTTTGAGACGGGCAAGCGAGATTGAGGAAACCTTATTATCATCAGAATGAGCTGAGAATGTATGGCTCAACTTCGCCGGCTCGATTTGACGACAACGACACTGCGGAGCAAATAACACTCATTTTGCGACGACTTACGAAGATCGGAGATCTCGTTCCCTCTCTCTCTTTTTTCTCGAATTGGTCAGAAACGCAGGCCTGCTGCTTTCTCTCTTTATCTATCTTTACTTGCCTTGCTGGCCACTACATTGCCAACGTGATACCATGTAAACGAAGCGTCGACGCCGCTCTGGTAGAATCAGGAGCTTGGACAATATTTTATCCAGGCTCAGACATTTCTTTTTTCTCATGACACGTAGGGACTTCGGGACTGTCCCTGTGCGGCACCCCTCTGTTGATTCCTGTGTTGTAGTGTCGACTGTCTATCGCGTTCTCTTTGTATCCATGGCGGTCGGCCCATCCCTCTGCCCTGAAAGCAAATTTCATTTTCCGTGGTTGTGCCATTTCTCTAATAGCACCTTGAACCTCGGACTCCGTCCCCGAACGCTTTCAGTCGCTATGTGTATCTGTGTTTGTGTGTACGGTTGTCGTTGACAGCTACGGGTGGATCTGCAGGCTGAACGAGTCAGTCGTCATCGAGGCGTAAGTCGCAAGCTGGGGCCTTATTCTTGAAGGTCGTCGCAATTAAGGCTGTCGTGCGCTCCAAGAAGCAGCAGGAGATAACGCAGAGCAATGGCAAAGCGCGACAAGCAGCGACATCACGGCCGTCGCCAGCGAGACGAACTAACCTCAGACAGTCGCGTATGGCATGTCTTGTCTTCTTTGGTCAAACCAATTTAGCTCAGCTTGTCGTGGCCCCCATAAAACTGGCCCTCCCACACCCCCTTCACCTTCTGTCTATTTTAATCTCGTTCTCACTCTGTGTCCGTTTTTGAGTCTGTGAGTGCATGCACGTATGCATGCCACAAGAAAAACAACAGTGACCGCTGCGGCAGTGGGTCGGTTCCTAAACCAACGGTGGCTAAGGTGGCGACTGTAGCGCTGGTGACGCCGGAAATGGCGACGACAACCGAGTAACGTCAGAGGCCCGCACGAGAAAGTTTTGTGGGCGACGAATACCAAATCTCGGGTATGGAAATGAGCGCCGATGGTCGATGACTTATTGTTGCCAACCGACGCACGCGGAAAGCGGGATGAGACGAGGAGGCTAGGACGTGAAGAGATCGGGTTAGCAGTATTCGGGGTGAGCACGACGAGTCTGGGAAGTCGCAAGTGCGATCTAGAGGGGTGCTGAAAGGCTTTTGCCTCCGCACGCGTGTTGTCGACAGCAATACAGATGGTAAGTGCGCGACAACCTAGAAAAAAAGAGGTGCAGGAGTAAAGAAGAAGGGATACGTAAAGGCAAAGCGAAGGCAGGCAAGTGACCTACTGGAAGAGCTTGAGTGGAGAGCAACAACGAAATTGTGAAAAAGGCGAACGAAACAGGGACACTGTGCCTAGGAGAGAAGGAGAGAGGGACGACTGGGATGCTGGCTCAGGGCATCAGCATGCCAAGAATCGGTAAATGAAAAGCAGTGAGCTCGTTTTACCCAGTGTCCCGCCAAAGGCCAAGGTAAAATAACAACAAAGGATAACACTAACAAAATGGGTATAACGATAAGGAATCGAGTGGTAGACACGCGGATATCGAGACACAGACGAAGAGCTTATAACGGAAGGCGCAGAAAACAATGGAAACGAGATCTAAACATTAGCGTGTAAAAAGCAAAAACGTTACTGAAAGAGATATTGATGTCAGTAGAAGCAATTCTCACGATTTTTGCAAAAACAGATTATTTTTACGAACTGCAGTCACATAGTTATTATTGCCCAAGGGAAACATAAAGACATATAATCCCACGTAAGGTACATTGTCGATAGTCAACTGTAAGTACAATAGTTTACCTCAATAGCCTCGCCGTTCGTGGGGCGAACGAGTTCTTTATGCAATACGCTTCTGCCACTGCGAAAGCTGTTATAATTATGAATGACTTACGAATGATTCATCCTGGTTAGCATGCTAAGCTCATAAATGATGAGCATAAGCGCTCAAAATGCGCACACGGCCTACTTATGGAGTTAATTCTATAAACTCAATCCCTAACAAACAGGCTCTGCCTTTTAGCATAGATTGCCTATTCTTGTCAACTAAAACACCTAAACATGCGCAGGGCAATCCTCAACTGAACTTTTTTTGTTACATCCTTCAATAATGTTTAGATAGGACAAACCAGGCCTAGAAATTTCGTCGACCAGTAAAAAGGTGCCATTTCAACAATGTTTCGAACACGTATTCAGTTTCGAAATTGTGATTGTGACTGATTGATGTTTGTTCGATTGGCATGAAAATTAAACGATCGTAATTTTTTTTTTCGGTGAAATTGTCTTTTGTTACAGGCAGTGTCAGTAGGGCCCAACAACTGTCTGCTAACGGCGAGCTGGGCGTTCAGCGACCACCATACTTCATCAGCGAGCCGCCTGCGCTCTTCGAATTCACGGCGGACAAGGGTGCCGAGCTACACTGCATCGCTGACGGTATTCCGAAGCCGGAGATTAGTTGGCAGCGACTTGATGACTCGGAAGTGGAAAGCAGCGACGCGGGCGTCCTGCTTTTGCATCCTATTTCGCCAGCAATGTATAATCAGTCGGTGTATAGTGGATTCTATCGTTGCGTAGCGAGAAACTCGTTGGCGGTCATCGCGTCGAGACTTGTCAACGTATTAGCAAGTAAGTACATGCAACGATAGATGAACTTACGTGACGTTTGCGAATGAGGTGCTGATAGCCGTCGTCGAAATAGTTTACGCATATGCACATTGAGCGTCAAGAGATTCACTTTGGCCAATTTTAGGTGGTTGTTGGCTGACGACATCATAATAATATGCTACTTGTTCAGAGTCCTTACGATGGTCAGTCTGTGATGATCAGAATCGTTTTCGCACTCTTGGTTGGACCTGTCCTAAGTAGGATATCTAACTAATTTACCATATCATGGTCTAAGCACTCTTAAAGAACTCTTCCTGTATATGACGTCATATAGAGATATCGTACCTAATACAAAATGTTATTATCTAAGTTTATGAAATCATATAACTTCTTATCGTTATGTCATAATTAATTCTCAGTTCGCGTTGAAACAGTTGGAAATCGTTTGACCGCATTGGTTAATGGAAGGCGCTACCACGCTTAATTCTCAGTTACTTTTGTGAGGATTCCTTGGAAATCAGTGTCTGCTTAACGGCAAGTGCTCGTTTTGTGAACCGCATACATTTGGCATACAATCCATTACGTGTCGTTTATCAGGCAAACAGCGCCACGACGCTTGGTTTTGGCGTTCTTCCATTAGAGACCCGATACGGGACGTGTGACTCAATCAAAAAGGTCGTTGCGCCAGAAGACTGGTCTCTGCCGTCCCTCAAAGTTTTCTTTATCTCTTTTTCTTTCTCTTGCTCCTTTTTTCCGCCCCTCATTTTCCCCCTCCCCTCCTCTCTCTCTCTCTCTCTCTCTCTCTCTCTCTCCATCTCCGGTGATTTCGATTCCCCGACCGGCCCCCAACATGTATTTGGTTACTTATTCGATGAAGTCTGCTTGCCGATTTCGTCGCGGTAGCGGCCGACCTGGACAAGAGGTCAAATCAAACTGACCGACGCCATTTTGGGGCTATCAGCCTCAAATTGATCGAAGGCAGCCGTCAACCGCCATTTTGCCAGGCCACCCGAATGGCTTTTATTTCTCTTTTTCCATTTGTGCACTACCACGACTTGACTCCACTCGATCCGCCATTCATTCATTTCTTTCTTCCTATCTCCAGCCACCGCCACCGCAAAAGGTGACTATGGGGCAACTGATGGGGATCTAAACGAAGGGGAAAGGTTATCACCGTTTGAATCATCGCCTCTCGCCCTGCTACGGCCACCGCTCCCGTCCGTATACTTTTCCTCCTACAAGTCTGTATGTTGTGCACTCTTTTTGCGCGCCTTGTTCCAACGGCAAAGTTCATATTAAGACTATGTAGAGCTAAGGCATGGAAAAGGCTCACCCAAGTACCCGCTCGACGTCGAAGGCAGCGACGACCGTTCGCCCTGCGAGCACACCCGCCGAGTTTGGGACGACGCAGGAAGGAAGTACGACGGCGACAACAACAATTTCGCAGGAGAACACGATTCACTATACCGAGGGACAAGCGAGTAATGGGGGTTAGAACGTATGGAAAAGGGAGATTTAAAGCAAACGCGGCTGCCTGCCCCCTCATAGAAAACGCGACGCTTCTGCTGAATTCGCGACGCCAGAGGGCGCATCGGCAGTTAAAGTAATAGAAGCACACACCGCAGCAGCAGTGGAAGCGGTAACAAATCACGGTAGCAGTATGGATCCTGTTAGCTGAACGATCTTCTAGCTCAGATTAGCTTTGGTCAACGAATCACTAATATAGTTAGAAACGTAGAAACTGTATTTAGCAAAAGACGCACGGTGTACTTGTAGGCGCGAGGCTTACTGCAGAAATGCTTGATCGTAAGTCCAAAATTATACTTTGTATCCTTTTATTTTGGAGTGGGTCATTTACATAACTATAGATTTCAGTGGTGTGATGTATGGTTCGTTGGCCAGTGTCAGTCTTCAGACAAGCGATAGGCTTGTTTCTCGTACTTTCGTAATACTATTTTTTATATTATTATTTAGAATTATCGTTAAAGTCGTGATTACTAAGCATGTCGAAAGTCTATCAATAATCTACTCTTGTATATTTCTGAGGTGACTCTAATGCATATGGATATGCAAGAGGTCCGTTGACGGTACTTTCGTGGTATGCGGTTAGATGTTTAGTTTCCTACATCCATATTTGAATCCTTGTCAGAGGCATACGGAAGAGTGCTTTCTTTCTCCATTCTATTCATGTTGCTAGTAATTTGAAAGAATGGTAGCAAGCTATCGGTCTATAAGGCAGCCTGTTAGGCCGAGTCTGACCAATCACTGTTAAACGGAGCTCCGCTGGCGCTGTCGTCGCCTAGAGCGCTTCGATTCGTCCCGTCGTTTGACTAGTCTGGCAGACGGATACAATTCGACTTGTAGAACTCTGTATCGCACTCTATACTTTCGTTCCGTACTTTTTTCTGTGCAAGATTTCCTACTTACCTGCCTTCCTGGCAGCAGCTTGTGGGCCACCGGCGACATTCTTATCGTCGCTACTTCTTCTTTTTTAACGTCGTTTGCTTTTAGTTGGTTGCAGGATGCTTTTCGCTCGTTCTTGCGGTTTCAACTAGAACCATTGCCGCCGTCGGCTCTGATGCACCCATTCGCTATCTTGTGCGTTGTCTTCCCTTTTCCGGAACACCAGCCTAAGCACCAGAGAGTAGCAAGCCTGTTCTGCGCATAATGAGATCGTGGCCCGTTAGCTCGCTTGGGTCAGCGCGCTCATTCAAGCCTTACAGAAGGGCAGCAGCAGGAGCAAAGGACGGCAAAAGCAGATCTCGCGGAGATCTGCTTATAGAGAATTGCGTGTTCGTCTGGTTATAGTGCTGGTAAAGGGAAGGGTAGACAGTAAGGGACTGTCGTCTGCCTTACTGACTTCTCACAGGGCAGGAAAAAGGACTAAAAAACTTTTTTCTTGAAGCAAGCGAATTACAACGGACAACGCTCAGACTTAGGCTGTGAACTATGGAAAAAGGGAGCGACGAGCCAGCATACGAGCAGTGGTAGCAAGTTTTTATAGCAGAAACTGCGCCCGAATCAAGTCATTCTTTGTATTGCCCGCCTCTTAGTGCTCATAGTTTTCGTTTGCCCGCTGCCTTTACACGTCTACGCGTAGAGCTTAGCACGCGTTCCGTAGTTTTTTTCGTAGGGTTTTATCGCCAAGGAAGAGTTGGACTCGATTTAGACCGGTAATAAAAAGACAGTCAAAAATGGAAGGACGCTGAATATATTCATTTAGAATACATTTCAATGCCCGTAGAGTCAAATTCGGTGTTTGCTTTCGACGTATCTTGGACTACGACCAGCTACATTGGCCACCAGCTAACCTGTTTGTCCTCGCCCTTGTGCGTCTACGTACGCACTTGCTTAGGCCAGGAATTCTCCCGAAGCCTGATTAGAAATTCCCGGGAGAAAAGATGGCTGCTTAATGACTGCCGCCTTACTGGATAGCGACCTGGACTGGAGTGCCAAGTGTTTTGGGGGCAGAACAGCCTGGGTGTCCAGTCGCTGCTGTAGTCAACTGGGAGGCGCTAGTCGTTCTGGGCATATCCATAGCCATAGTTTCCCATCATTTGGCTAAACCCGCGTACAAGGCTCACTTTCCGCAGTATAGGAGAGAGCACTTCTGCACACGGTAACGGAGCTACGGCTGCACAGTCGGATCAACACCCAGGTTTCGAGCACCCTCAGGCGGTGCCGTTAGGCGCCGGTGCAGCTAAAGCCAGAGGACGGAGCAACGAGCAGTCGCCGTGACAGCTCGGCAAGGTATTTTTATGACACATTGATTCATTATAGCCGATTACGCAAAAAAAACTGCTGATACCACACCGAGTACAGTAGAATCCGAACCAATCGACATACATGCCAGTAATGTTTAGATTTCGAACAGTGAAATGAGCGAGCGAACGGGCTGCTTCGGAAATGCCTTATTTGCAGAAGACACCATAGTTCAGACGACCCCGAAAATAGGCGACCAAAGAGGAAGAAGAGGATCCAGGCGTACGAAACAACCAGCCTTCTTCTGGAGTTGCCATTTTCTGCTAGATTGCTCTTTACTCGATCATCCGAAACCACAGCAGTGGCAGCGGTACAAAGGGGCTAGCTGGTCAAAGCACACTAGACTCTGAAGGCCATTTAACGTTTCACTCAAATTTACGCGACCGCTAGGCTAAAATTCGACTAAAGAACGAGTGGAATTGAAGTGGAACAGCTTTCGCTCAGGCAGAAGGACTTTTAAGGGACAGCGACGCTGTTTGCTGGTCGGGATTTAGCTGTAACTCTCATGGGACAGCAGAGCGAGACAGATATAAAAGACGAACGAAACATGTATAGTAGACGACTTCGAGGTAAAATTGCCTGCTACGGAGAGGAAGCGATCACGTATGCGCACGACGTCAATGCCCCATTCGGCATGTTGTTTATCTATTCTACGTCGTTGTTATTTGTCTACAAACCGTAACACGATTACCCTGAGGACAGTGTTTGTGTTTTACTGTGTCTTACGTTTCATTCCGTTCGGCTTATATTTTCATTTGGGGCAACATGTCACGCTTAGACTGTTTATAGATGACTATTTACTTACCGCCAAGATATATTAGGATGTAAGTACATTTACGTTTTGTTTTTCTATTGTTGTTCCACACAGCCCGACTCCTCGTCGAGGTTATACTTTGTCTACTAACCTGATAACGTTCGCATGTACTACTTTTTTTTTTTGTTTGCAGTATTCGATTCAGAAGACACGTTTGTAGATGTGCAGGACGGCGTAGCCATCCGGGGAAACACGGCTATCCTGAGATGTGTCTATCGTGGGGATAATGCCGAATTTACGTGGATACGCGACGACGGCCTACTAATCTCTCCGCAGCAGCAACACAGTAAGTGAAATATGGAAATAAACGCTAGGTCACAGATGCAGTGAAAATAAAAATAATTTTCAAATTAAACACAAATTGATCGCGAGTCGATGCACTTAGGCCGAAGGTTGCCATAGTTTTTCTCTACAGCTTGATCAGAAACTTATGACGATGGACGGGCGGCATAGAAATAGATAAATTACTATGTATACAATCAGTTGCGCGCCTCAGGACTGTAGCGGCATCTTTTTTAGTTGGCAAGCGTCTTATTAGACCGCATCAGCATAAAACATATGTCATCTTCCGCATTTCTCTCGAAAATAGCCTGTGTGTGACGCCGTCAATACATATCAACGACTTAGCTTAGCTTGCTTGCTAGTGCCCCCCGCTGGCATCAAAAAAGTCACTTCACACCTGAATAGTAACTTCAGGTATATATATATATATATATATATATAGAGAGAGAGAGAGAGAGAGAGAGAGAGAGGGGAGAGAGTTAAAAGCAAATCCAGTGCACTTTGAAATTGAATAACTTTTGAACAAGTCGGGCTAGAATGATGATTTTTTAATATGCTTAGAGCTCCTCATTGATTTCTTAAGCATTCGCTTTAGAACTCGGCCAGTTTCTATTATTCACGTTTCCTTATGAAATTATTCTATTGATGGCTTTTCGAAGTACATCTATATTGGAACATGCTTCCCACGGAAAGCCCCGTGATTACATGGACTCAGACCCGAACAATACTCGGGTTGAAACCAGCGTTAGATATTTTATTGCTCTGCTCAATCCAGAAAAAAATTGGAGTAAGACGGTGAGGTCTGTCGTCAAGTAACCAGACTGCTTCCAATTGCTGCGCCAATGGTCCATGGGTCTATTAAGGAAATCAAGATAATGGGTTACATTCGTTGTTTCATTTTAGGCGAGTATGTTATAGTAGAATGCTTCTAATGTTCATTGAAAATACGTCCAAATATACTCTCCACTGAACTCAATTTATCTTCCAGGCGACGTCATTGTCTCGTCTATTTTTTTCTCCAGCTCATTGTTCATCGACTAAAATTTAGCAGATTACCTTTGGAATACATCATACGAATTTCCAACTGTTCTGGAGTCAGTTGACGGGGAAATAATTTTTTACTCAATCTTCGAATTTTTAATGTTTGTATTATACTACTATAATACGTTACACGTGAAATATCGCTTTTAGCCAATAAAATCTTTAGACCCAAACTTTATGAGTTCTTGTCCTTCGGGTACCAGCATCTAATCACCTCATCGCTGGTTTTCAATGCTATCGTCTTTGCTCTTGAAGCGTCTGCATCGTCGACATGCTGTCCTTGATTTAAATGGCTCATAGGCATCTCTTTGAATGCATTGCTTTGGTAACCATAACTAGCTAGGTTCAAATCTCAGGGTTAGCAAACATTTGTATTAAATATATAGATAATCGGGAAAATCATGTAAGGAACTATGAAAAATAGGATATTATTATTAGGGCTTACAGCTGCTTGTACGGTTATCATGCTATTTCATAAGTCTATTCGAGAAACTCCAGATAATTCCAGTAAGATTTGTTCCGGTTAAGCTCCTAATGTTTAATGTTACACCTAAGAAATTCATGATTCCGAGGAATTGCTCACGTAAAATGAATAATGGATATGTTTGCGATAGGCAAGATCTTTACGGCTGCCGCTGCAGCTACTACTGTTACTACTTCCCTAACGAGCGACGCCGTTATCCCCGATTTAGATCTTTTCGAAAACAATACATTGCAATCTATAGTTCACGCAGCGGAGGCAAACTTACGTAAAGAACAAAAGTGAAAAGGAACGTAATAAGGGGCGTTGGTGAAAAAGAGCTTCTACAGATAGAGCCAGACCCGTTTGTTTTGTGCTATGCTATGGTGTCGGCTGTGTCAGCCAAGGGGCCGATGGCTTCTTGTCGGCTCCCGGTCCAGGCTACTATGTTCTGTGGGACTGTTCAGGCTTGTTGTTGAATGTGGCATACTGAGACCAAACCTGAAAGACAGGTATTATGACGCAGAAGGGAAGAACGGAACAAGAGCAGCGAATGGAACTAGGGGTGGCAGAAAGGGCTTTAGAATGAGCAACACCCAGAACCTACGCGAAACGGAGGACAAGGGACAAGCAAACTACTAAGGACCTCGAAACATGAAAGCGGCAAAGGCGACGAAATCGAGAAAGGGAGTTAGTCGGCGAAGGCGCCTGGATGAGGCACGTTGATTCAGGGAAGTTCATCCCAATATAGGGATACCGTCATGGATGGGGTGAGCGAGTGAGGTGGGGACTGGACAATAGGCAGGGGAAGGGGCAAGAGCGAGACTACAGACGTTTAGGGAAAAATGTTGTTGGGGGTCGTAGGGGACTGATTCAGCAAGCCAAGCGCGTAGCAAGTAGCGAGTTGCAAGCTGATTGGGGCAGGGGAACAGGATTGCGCCATATAACAGCAAGCTATATGCCTAGCGGGCTCAGCCAGCCACACGGAATACACTTCAGACTTAGCGGCCCGCCGGCTACAGAGAGGCAGCTAAACCAGAACCTATGAAAAGCCAAGTACAAGAAACATCACGAGCAGCAGAAGTAGCAGCAGCAGGGGGTCTTGACAAAAGCATATTTCCTATAGCACCCAAGTCATAAGAGAACATGTAAACACATTTACATGAAGACAAAGCGGTCGGCTCAGAGAGCTTAGCTCATCTTACTACCCAAGCTCAGCCGTGGTGATAAAATATGGAGTGATAAACCCTTAATATATTAGGGACAGAAGGTTGTAAACGGAGAATATAAACAGCCATAAGGAGGCTGGTTTTTCCTTAATAGTTTGTGACTGGATTCACCGATATATTTGAAACGTTTCACAGGTGTGGATCATACATTTTAAACTGTACCGTTTGTTATAATCAAGTCAGTGTACAATATTGCTTCCATAGAGTTTTAGCAGTCCGAAAAGTTTCTGAGAACATGGTATGCCAATTGTTCCAGAGCCTAGGTTCTTTGATTAAGTCAAAAGCAGCGGATAGGTGTTCTAGATTTAAACTTTGGAAAAGTGGATACATAAAGAGCCCAAATACAGGCTAGCTAACCTTGATACTTATCAACTGGTCTAGAATTCGATACTGGATGATGTCTCAGTCTTTAGCTGACTGTGGTTGAGGCTCGTGCTATGTGAGCTACGTTCTTATCATAGAATGACACTCTTCTATGTTAAAGAGAGGCTCTATTGAGAATGCTCTTCCGCTGGAGAACTTTGCTCTTTGAAACTCTAGTGATTATTGTACTCATTGCAAACAGGTAAAATCACGTGCAGGTTCCATTCTATACATGATCAGTGTATTTTAACTGAAAGTGTCGGCATTCGTTAAAACAGAAAACCTGTCCTACAAATGGTAAACGGTCGGCTGTTTTCTGTTGTCGGCGCTTTCTACAGCTGCCGTCAGTACCTTTTGTGTCGTTCTAATGTGCTCTTTTTTATTGTTTGTCTCCTTGTTCGTTTTTATTTTCCTGTCTTTGAAACAAAAGGGGCAACCCGATCGAATTCTTTTTCGTTCCTGCTCTAATAAGGCTGCCAAGCTTATTGCTGGTTACTCAGACGTCAAGCAGATGTACAACCGATCGCTGCTGTCGTGAACGTATTATCTTTCCAGTGCCAAGAGCAGCTGTTCTGCCTTCCCATCGCCATCGTTAGATTGGCAGATATAAGTTACACCTGAGGCATCAACGACGCTCTACGACAACAAACCAGCATTGCATGGTTCAGTGTGGGTCGACGCTTTCGATATGGTTGGCCTACGCTTTCCAAAACGCTAACGACACCTTAGATTTTTTCGAATGGTGATGGTGTCCCGTCAATAGGCACCTCAAACAGCAAGTTCATGTCCAAGTAAACCCCGGAAAACTCGGAAGACGGGAAGTTGCAGCGATGACGAGCGAAACACGCCTTGTCATAGTCGAGATGCACGACGTATGTCTGAATTAGGTTAAACTAGGAGAAGATTGGCCGAAGGCAAGTTGGAAGCGATTCAGAGCCGCTGAAAGTGATACAGAGCCGCTAGAATCATCAGTATGAAAAGCGTAGAGCAGTTTGTAACGACATCCGCTGGATAGACACGGACACATTCGTTTCTACTCATCTTATTCTCTGCAGCAGCAGTAGTTGTAGCGGCGTCCTCGTCGCTTGCTATTAACAAATGCTTTGCGCCTAGTAATGCCTGGTAACGCTATTTTCCCCGTATCGCTCGGATTTCGAAACGACACCCGATTCTACTATAGAGCGACTGGGCTGGAGAGCGGAAAGCGATTGCAATTGTGGAGGCTCTAGCTTAGTGCACAACGGACACAGCTGGCACTGTCATTTGATTTGAAACAAGGAGTACGTGAGTAAGCGAGCTACCCTCATAGCACGAGCCAACACGAACTTTCGTCTGGCCCCTGCCGCTTGTCTCCCTGTACGGGAAGGGCGCGCGTTTTCGCCTTGTGCCGGCAACATTAAAGGCAGCGCCGTCCTGGATAACGGCGGTGTCAAAAGTAAAGGCGGAACGTCAGTCGCTTTCGCGGCGACCGAGGAGGGCCATACCGCTCGTATGGCAGAGGTGCTACGAGTCCCACAGAGGAAGTAGCAGCAGTAGACACTGTAGCTTCTGCAGAAGCATCAGTAGCACCTCTGAATGCCTTCACTGCTGTTACTCTTTCTACACATACATCAACGAGATCGGCAGGTTACTGCCAACCCATGCCAATTTTGAACTGATTTTGATGCTCGATTTTGGCTGGCTAGGTATCGATGTCGGTTCACGGTAGTCGGCATGGTGTAAGCTGCGTAATGGAACTATCGCGGTAAAGAAGAGCTGTGCAACGTTGACATGCAGTCTAGAGGAAAAAGGAAAATCGTTGACATGGGTACAGGAATGGAAAACGAGGCAAGTAATACTGGTCAGAAGAACAGGCGTTCGGGTGTCTGGAGCAGCCGTTTGTGTTTGGGGGAGAGGGGGGTAAAATAGCGA